AAGAATTTCGAAACGAACACGATTACGAGAGTGAACCCGTGGGGTATCGCTGATCAGCCAATATAATAATATTTTCCAGGTTTGATCGAACCTACTGATACCATGTCACGAAATTTGGCTTGATGCCTTTCTCATTGCCTTTCATACTATATATAATAGTGTCGGTAATTACAACTCATAATAACTAATTATAGCTGATAATGACTAATTACAATTCATAATGACTAATTTCCTGATATAATACCATAAGAAAGAGAAAAGAAGTAAGATGAAAATCTCATATATTGATTGTAATTGAAAGAGTACAAAGGCATGGTATATAAAGCCTTAGATCTAACTAACTGTAACAAACTGAACTAACTGTAACAAACTGTACAGCTGGCATATAGCTGTAACAGTTGCATAACTACTACTCTCTATTAGTCCCCCTTAGAAGCTGAGGGTGTGTTTAATAAACTAAGTTTATTGAACACTCGCAGTTTATCTCGCAGAGGTAAAAACTTGATGGCTGAGAGAGGTTTGGTCAACAAATCTGCCCACTGATCTTGGGCAGGAACATGCTCCACAATTAGACTCTTAGAGATCACTTTCTCCCGTACAAAAAATATATCCAGTTCCATATGTTTTGTCCTGTTGTGCAAGACAGGATTGTGTGCAAGTGTCACGGTGCTGAGGTTATCACACAGTAGTTTAGGAGTAAGAAGTCGGCAGTGAAGTTCCTGCAGTAAAGACTGAACCCAGATTATTTCAGATGCTAACTGTGCCATACTCCTGTACTCAGCTTCAGCACTGGACCTTGCCACTAGCTGCTGTTTCTTGGACCACCAGGAGATGAGATTAGGACCTAGAAACAAGCAAGCTCCTGATGTTGACCTTCTGTCATCAGGGTCTGATGCCCAGTCAGCATCACAGAAACCAAGTAATGACAGAGGTTTGTGAGGTGCTGCAGGCTGAATCAGTAAACCATAGTGCAGAGTCCCACTGAGGTATCTTAGTATTCTTTTAACTGCTTTCCAATGCTCTTCCAAAGGATTTGACAGAAATTGGCACACCTTATTGACAGAAAAGGAAATCTCTGGCCTAGTGAGGGTAGCATACTGAAGGGCACCCACCACAGACCTGAACTGGGTGGGATCAGAGACAGGTTCAGAACCAAACCTAGAGAGTTTGCTGGTAGAGACCATAGGTGTGGGCATGCCATTGGCATTGATCATATTGACTTTGGCTAGTAAATCTGTCAAGTATTTGGCTTGGGATAGAAGCAAGGAGCCATTGGACAGATGAGTGACTTCTATGCCAAGAAAATAATCCAAGTTGCCAAGCTGTTTAAGTGAAAAATCAGAATTTAGCTGGGTGATTAAACCACTGATGAAGGCAGAAGAATTACCAGTGATAATTATATCATCAACATACACCAACACCATAATACTTAGGCTGCCAGTATGGAGAATAAAGAGGCTAGGATCACACTTGCTAGCATGAAAACCATGACTTAGGAGAGAGCCCTTGAGTTTATCAAACCAGGCTCTAGGAGCCTGCTTCAGGCCATAAATGGCTTTGTTTAATTTGCACACCAAAGACTTGTCTGCAGCTTCAAAGCCAGGAGGCTGCTGCATGTAAACTTCCTCTACAAGTGTGCCATTTAAAAAGGCATTGTTCACATCAATTTGCTGTATAGACCACCCGTGAGTCACAGCAAGAGTGAGTACAGTCCTGACAGTTACAGGCTTGACCACAGGAGAAAATGTCTCTGTAAAATCACTGCCAGCCTGCTGATGAAACCCTTTGGCCACTAATCTGGCCTTGTATTTGTTGATGGTTCCATTAGGGTTCTCCTTGACCCTAAATACCCACTTGCAGCCAATTGGCTTCCTAGAATCAGGTGGAGACACCAAGTTCCAGGTCTGATTCTTTAACAGTGCAGTGTACTCATCTTTCATGTCCTGAAGCCAATGAGGAGAGGCCAAGGCTTGTCCAACAGAATTAGGTTCCATATGAGTAATTAAGAGGGTAGGTTTAATTTTAGGTTTAGTAATACCATTTTTAGACCTTGTTTGCATGGAGTGAATATTGTGAGCATGACTGGAAGGATTAGGCAGAAGAGGTACAGTATTGATGGAGGACTCAGAGGCAGGAGAAGAAGGGGAAATAGTGGGAGCCTCTGCAATATCAGACTGCAGAGGAGTGACAGACAAAGAATTGACAGGTGTAGTAGGAATGGGAGAAGAAGTAGCCGATTCTGCAGTTACTGAAGGCACTTGTAGCCCTTGTGAATGGTAGAATAACCAAGAAAAACACACTCTTGGGACCTAAAGTCCAATTTGTGAGAGTTATAAGGACGAAGAAAGGGAAAACAGGCACAACCAAAAACTCTTAAGTGAGCATAATCAGGAAACTTGTGAAACAGTTTGAAATAGGGAATTTTATGCTCAAGAGACGCACTAGGAAGTCTGTTTATGAGATAAGTGGCTGTGATAAAGGCATGATCCCACATTTGAAGGGGCAAGGTAGAGTGAGCAAGCAAGGCTAAGCCTGTTTCAACTATGTGTCTATGCTTGCGCTCAACAATACCATTCTGATGGTGGGTATGGGGACACGTGAAACGATGCACAATGCCAAGATCATTGAGATATTTGGTGAGAGGTCTAAACTCACCACCTCCATCAGTTTGAACAACTTTGATTTTATGGTTGAACTGAAGTTCCACCATAGTTTTGAACTGAACAAACTGAGAGAAGGTATCAGACTTTAGCCTAAGAGGAAAGATCCAAGTGAACCTAGAAAAGGCATCTACACAAGTGAGAAAATAGGCATAGGCACCTGAAGATTTAACAGGTGCAGGACCCCATAAATCACAAACCACTAATTCAAAAGGATGATTATAAACAGTAGTGGAGAGAGAAGTAGGAAGTCTGTGAGATTTGCCTAAGGAACAAGCAGAACAAAACTCTGCTGCAGACTTAGAAGAGAGAGAAATGCAGCAGGTTTTGAGCACTTCAGCAAGAACTTGATGATGGGGATGACCCAACCTGGTATGCCACAGAGCATACTTACTGAGAGTAGGAACAGACTTAGCAGTAGAGTAAATAATAGGCAAATTAACAGCAGAAACATCATGTTTATTCACAGAAAATGAAGGATTACAATCAGTAATAGTATGACTAATATCATTGGAATGAGATACAGTATTACATGAAGCTCTAGGATTACAATTATTGAAATCTAAATTTGAGCTAGAATGGAGACTAGACAGAGGCTTTGACACTTGAGAAGAAGGAATCTGAAACTTGTAAAGACCATCATCTCCAACAATACCATGAAGAAGCACCTCAGAAGAACCCTGAGATTTGACAAGACAAAAAGAAGGATGAAATTCAAAGAAAACTTTATTATCTTGTGCAAATTTACTTACACTGATGAGGTTTTTGGTGATGTGAGGAACAAGAAGTAAATTGTGAAGCATGAGAGGTGTGTGAGACAGATGAGAGGAGGGAAATTTCATGGAACCTATAGAGTTAATGGACAAACCTTGGCCGTTTCCCATGAAGACTTGTTCAGAACCAGTCACAGATTGAGCATCAGGCATGTTGGAAGAATCAGGTGTAACATGGTGTGAGGCACCTGAGTCAGGATACCACCATTGGTTGCTGAAGTTGGGATCAGAACTAGCCACAAATGCTTGAGGAGGAGAAGGTCGTGGTGCAGCTGATCTAGGTGAGGAATAACCAAAGACAGGAGCATACACAGGACGAGCATTCGCCAGAAATGGATTGAAGGGAGCTTGTTGCGGTGGAAACGGCTTTGAAGAGGACTGAGTGTACCTGTAGTAGCAAACAGAGGCATCATGTCCACTTTTGCGACAGATTTGACACTGAGTTTTGCCAAAACGACCGCCGTGACGACCAAAACGACCGCCACTACCCCCTGAACGACCTCCTCTGTTGTAACCACTGCTTTCTGCGTGAGCATTAACATGACTAGTACCAGTTGGAAAGGAGTCAGAAGCTTGCGAAACAGAGTCATCCGGAGAAGAAGATTCAGACGGCGGAACCTGCGTTAAATTGACAGAAGCAGGTTCAGTGAGAATCGCTTTTCTGTGTTTCTCCAATCGAGATTCATGAGCAAGAAGACTGGATTCAAGATCCTCCAACGTACTGAGATCTTCCTTACTATTGACAGCAGCAACAATCGAATCATACTCCTCAGGAAGCGCATCCAGCACAATCTCAATTAGGTTACGCATCGGAACAGGATCTCCAACTGAAATCAACGATTCATTGATTTCGCGAACTCGCGCCATGAACGCTTCAATATTGAGATTACCTTTGGAAAGACGGCGAAGTTCAGATCGTAGCTGACGAGCCTTCGTCGTGAGCTGCACGGCGAAGTAGCGGTGAACTTCCGTCCAAACCTGCCACGCATGAGTACAATCCACAAGTTTGGGAAGAAGCGAGTCAGAAATTGTGGAGAGAAGCCACATGCAGACAAGAGCATCCTGTTGCTCCCAATCAAGATACTCATCGATGACTTCGCTAAGATTCGGATCAGAAGTCACCGGCGAACGCTGCGGAATCACCGGAACCGTGACAAAGCGTTGAAGCTTGTGGCCACGCACAACTCCATCGATTTGCTGCTTCCACTGTTTGAAATTTTTATCATCAAGCTTAACAGAGAGCTTGACGTGAGCGGAAGGAAAAGCGCCGTCGCTGCGAAACGGTGACGCCATGAATGAAGATTACTGGATCAGGAAGAAGAAGCTCTAGATACCATGATATAATACCATAAGAAAGAGAAAAGAAGTAAGATGAAAATCTCATATATTGATTGTAATTGAAAGAGTACAAAGGCATGGTATATAAAGCCTTAGATCTAACTAACTGTAACAAACTGTAACAAACTGTACAGCTGGCATATAGCTGTAACAGTTGCATAACTACTACTCTCTATTATTTCCTATTCTATAAATGTAAATTATTCACAATAACTGCAAAGATTATTTCCTAATTAACAGATGCATCCATAGCTTCCAGTCGTTCATAAACTCGCTCAAGTGCTTCACCACCGCCATCATCCTGGAACAGAAATTAATCAAGCATGGAGTCGTCTATAAAAGCAAATATCCGTGAGCAAAAAAATTCAGATGTCGTAGTACTTAAACATACTTGTGCGCCCAGGACTTCAGCTTCTTTCTCCAATCTCAACCTTTCCTCATCACAGCTAATGACAGCCTCCAATGCAGACATGTCAGATGCTTCAATTTCCCGGCTAAGGTGATAAATATCCATGTGCTCAGGAATAGGAAGTTCACGTAACCCTATAGCTGTGAGTAGGGTAGATTTTCCACAACCATTTAATCCAAGCAAACCATAACGTCTGAAAGGAAGTTATAGAAAACATAATCACCAACAAATATACAGTTATAATCAATAGCATCCTATTCAGAAATCAGAACAAATAAATATTAATGACAAACCTTCCATAGTTTAGCTCCAATTCAGAATCAACTATAAGATCATGTCCGTGGAAAGTAACTGATAGAGATTCTATCTGTAAATGCAGCATAAACCAATAGCTCAATACAATATACAACACTAATCATCTTAAATGCATTGAAAATTAACTGTATTTATAATTAGATGGCAGAAATATCCTTTTTATGGCTCAACATTGAAAAATCACCTACCTCTGAAGGGTTCATAGTAGGTACTAGGTAGGTGTACATTCACAAAGGAGAATCGAGATTTTGATCTGGGCAACATGGTAGAATGTCATTGCTACCGGCCCAACTGCTCAGCTAGGTGTTCAAATACAAGCAGGCACCCATGCTAAGAACAATAGTTTAAAAGTAAGACTACTGACTATCATTGAGAATGTCTACTCCAGTTTCCAAAAATATGGATTAATAATTAATGAAGGATCTGGGTAGATTGTCCATTTATCCTCTTTTTCGAGAGGTAGAATGCAATATGTGAATGCAAAAGTAAGCCAAAACATTTTCAATTAAATAACCAAGACATGAATACTCTTTCAATTGAAAAGCCAAGGAAAAATAATCAAACTAAACTCATAAACTCACTAGTCGAGCCTAAATCAAAATAATCAAACTAAAGGCTATGTTTGGCTATCATACAGTGACCAGAGTGAAATGGAATGAAACGGAAGAGAGTCGCTCGAAAATTTTATGACAGGACAAGTCAAGTTGTTCATTCCGCACAAATGAGAGGGGAAAGAAATATATTGTCCTTCATTCCGCTCCGCTCCATCGGATTAAAAATGATCCAAACAATGAAATATCGTTCCATTCCATCTCATACTTCTCTGCTCATCCAACTCCATCTACCCAAACAAAGCCTAAATATAATCAAAATCAGAATGTTTCAAAATAAGGCTATCCTTAAACAGAGCAAAATGCATGAACATCAAATTTCAAAGTAACAAAGCCATTCAGCTCCACCAAGTGCATTCCTATCATCTCACTCTTCCGAAATCAGATTCTTTCTTTCTTCTAAATCATTTAAGTAATTATGTTCAATATCTTACTGTTCAAGCTATATATTTACATTAACCACTTTGAATTATTATCCCTACAAAGAACTAAACTAACCCTACATGCATCTTTCCCTCAACATATCAAACACAACGAACAAATCAACAAAATCAAAACACTGTACAATAGTTTTTTCAGTAGCAATTAATTAAATATAAATTAATCAAAAAAAGTTAATTAATAGCACTGAACGATGATCAGTTATTGCTCACCCGAATATCTCTGGAAAGGGGATGAGAACAGAGGACGCCGGTGCATGTCCGATCAGATATCTGAATATCCCCAATTCCGTTGGCAACACTGTCAACCGCTTTCTCCGAAGCGGTTTTGGATGAAGCAGCAGCGACAGCTACCTTGCCTCCTCTCTTAGCGTCGGCGGCGGCCTTCTTCTGGGCGGCCTTTTTCTTGCTTGCTTCAGACACCATTTTCAATCTCTAAAATCTCTGCATGGAAACAATCAGTTTCTTCTATAGAAACAACTAGAAATTTGAAAACGCGCGTTTGAATAAAAGCTGAAAAAGTTGAAAGAGAAAAATTGAAATGCAAACCTGGAATCGGAATAATTATCAGCATTTGTGCAAGCAGATAAAGGTGGTTTTCTGTTATCAAGATCTTTGGGATCTTGTGAAAGGAGGAGTAACACCGCTTGCAGAAGACGCGACGGGCCAAGAAAAGACTGCACACAAAGAATTGAAGAAGAAAGATTATAAAACTCTCTTTATAATCCATCCATGTGTTGATCTAAATAATTTTGAAAATGTTAGTGATGTAGAGTCAGCGAATGAAGCGTGGGAGATTCTTGAAAAATCGTTTCAAAGTGTAGATGAGGTGAAAGTGAAAGTATGAATTGCTTCAGATGGAAGAAAGTGAAAGTATAACAGATTTCTTTGCTAGAGTTATAAAGCTGGTGAATCAAATCAAGTTATGTGGAGAAGTGTTGACATCAAGATCAGTTGTTGCAAAGATATTAAGGTCGTTGGCTCCAAAGTTCGACCACGTGGTAGTAGCCATAGAAGAGTCGAAAGATTTGTCAGTATTGACGAAAGAAGAACTTCAAGGGACGTTTGAGTCTTATGAACAAAGGATGGCTGAAAGAGCTGCAGGAAAGTCGAATAGTGATATGGCTTTGCAGACACAGTCATGAGAAGAAAATAAAAGCAAAGGAAGGTGGAATGACAAGAAAGGTAGAGGAAACTACAACAATTCGACTGGTCGAACTCAACAGAAAGGAAACTGGTTGAATTAGAGAAAACCTTAGAACCAAGGCAACCAGAGAGGTGGTGCTGCAGGTAGAGAAAGAAGTGGTGGTCGAAAGCCTGACAAAAGTCACATTCAGTGTTTTAATTTTTAAAAGTATGGTCACTATTTTAGTGAGTGTCGAGAAAAGAAGAAGAATCAAGAAACTGATGCAAAGCTGGAAAAACATGAAGAAGAAAAGATGTTGTTGATGGTCACAATAAGATATGAAGAAAGATTCTAGGACCAATGGTACTTGGACTCAGGATGCTCATCACACATAACTGGTAGGAAAGATTGGTTTGTCAACATAAAGCCATCAACAAAGAACATGGTGAAATTTGCAAATGACAATACTCTAGCAGCTGAAGGTATTGATGATGTTCTGATTATGAGGAAAAATGGCAAGAGGTCAGTAATTTCCAATGTGTTGTACATACTAGGCATGAAGAGTAATTTGCTCAGTATAAGGCAGTTAGTCATAAAGAACTACAAGGTGTTGATCGGAGACAAGATGATGGAGGTTCTCGAATTAAGTGGTAAGTTAATCTTGAAGGCTCCGATGTCTTAGAATAGGACCTTCAAGATTGAACTTAATGTGATGGAGCATAAGTGTCTTGCAACTGTGGCCATCAGAAATGAATGGATGTGGAATTATCGACTTGGTCATCTTAACTTCAAAGACATCATAGATTTGAAGAGAAGAAATATGGTTTCAGGATTATCAGAAATTGACATTCCAAGCGAAGTGTGTGAAGAATATGTTTAGGCGACACAACACAAGAATAGCTTTAGCAAAGATGCAGGAAGCAAGTCGAAGGCAATTCTTGAAGTCATATACTCTGATGTATGTGGTCCTATCCAGGTGGATACGATTGGAGGCAACAAATACTTTGTCACGTTCATAGATGATTTTAGTCGAAAACTATGGACTTACCTGATCAATAAGAAAAGTGAAGTGATTGAGGTATTTGTCAAATTCAAATCTATGGTCGAAAGACAAAGTGGTCAAAAGTTAAAGATTCTGAGGACTGATGGTGGTGGATAGTATGTGTCAAAAGATTTCTATGCATTATATGAGAAAGAAGGGATTCTACATGAGGTAGTGCCACCATACACTCCACAGCAGAATGGAACTATAGAAAGGAATAATAGAACCATCATGAACATTGTGAGAAGTATGTTGAAAGGCAAACATCTACCCAGAGAATTATGGGGAGAAGTTGTGTCAACATCAACATACATCTTGAATAAATGTCCGACGAAGAAGCTAGAAGGAATCATGCCAGAAGAATGTTGGTCTGGTGTCAAGCCTAACCTAAGTCACTAGAAGGTGTTTGGATCTATAGCACATAGACATGTGCCAGATAAGTTGAGAAGAAATCTTGATGACAAGTCGAGTCAAATTATCCTAATAGGATATCACTCGTCTGGATGATACAAGTTGTTCGATCCATTGAACAAGAGAGTTATGATCAGCAGGAACGTGATCATATATGAGCTTAAGGAATGTGATTGAACTGAGAATGTTAAGAAGAACTCAGTGAGAATATTATGTGAAGAACCAACTAGTGAAGTCGAAAGAGAAGTTCGACAAGAAGAAGTCAGAGGTGAAGCAGACCCATGCAGACCTCGACGAACAAGACACATGCCTGCAAGGTTGCAAGAATGTGTGATCAAATTAGTTGATGTGGTTGATTAAGAAGGTGAGCTGGTACACTATGCTTTCTATGCACAGGTCGAACCACTCAATACAGATGAGGCGTTGAAAGATTCAAAGTGGGTGAAAGCAATGAATGAAGAACTAGAGTCCATTGAAGTCAATAAAACTTGGTCACTTATTGAATTGCCTCAAGGCAAGAAGGTAATTGATGTGAAATGGGTTTACAAGGTGAAGGTGAATCCTAAAGGAGAAGTAACTCGACACAGGCGGGACTTGTAGCGAAAGGATTTCTACAGAAGGAAGGAATCGACTTCGACGGATTGTTTGCACCTATTGCTAGGATCAAAACAATTAGGTTGGTTATTGGTCTAGCAAACATGAACAATTGGCACACATATCAGATGGATGTGAAATGTGCATTCCTGAATGACCCCTTAGACGAAGAAGTTTATGTTGCACAACCAGCTGGGTTTGTAAAACAAGGCGAAGAGAGAAAGATGTACAGGTTGCATAAATCCCTGTATGGATTTAAGCAAGCTCCAAGAGCTTGGAATAAGAAGACCAGCAGCTTTCTAAGGGAGAAGAAATTTGTGAAGTGACAATTGAGCATGGAGTATATGTAAGGAGATACAATAGTGAATTGCTTATATTATGTCTCTATGTCGATGACCTGTTGATAACAGGAAGTTGCAAGAAGGAGATCGAAGATTTCAAACATGACTTAAGTGAAGAGTTTGAAATGTTAGACTTGGAAAATCTCTCATATTTTCTTGGCATCGAATTCTACAAGAGTAGTAGAGGTTTGATGATTCACCAAAGAAGATATGCAGGAGAAATACTCTAGAGATTTGAGATGTAAGATTGCAACCTAACTTCAACTCCAGATAAGACCAAATTGCAACTATCGAAGGATTCATATGAAGATGATGTCGATCCAACCCAATATAGAAGACTTATTGAGTCACTTCGATACCTTTGTCACACAAGGCCTGAATTAGCATACAGTGTAGGTATGGTAAGTAAATTCATGCATAAGCCAAATGTATCACACTTAGCAGCGGCGAATAGGATACTGAGGTATCTGAAAGGAACTATCGACTACGACATTTTGTTTCCTGCAGCTGATGAAGGAAAAGAATGCAAGATAGTGAGATACACTGATTCGAGTTGGTGTAGTGATGCTGAGGATAAAAAATCCACAACTGGTTGTGTGTTTATGCTAGGTGGTGCACCAGTTGTTTAGTGTTCCAGAAAGGAGATAGTAATAGCATTTTCATCATGCGAAGCGGAATACATAGCTGTTTCCCTTTGTGCATGTCAAGCAACATGGATGGTGAAACTTGGTCGAAGAGATTACAAGGAAGAGTCATGGAGAAATTACCATGAAGATCAACAGCATGTCAGCTATCAACCTGGAGGAGAATCCAATAGCACATGGTCGAAGCAAGCACATCGAAATGAGGTTCCATTATCTTCGAGAGCAGGTAGTAGAAGGGAAGATGAGTTTGTAACACTGCATAACTGAGAATCAGATTGCAGATATCATGACCAAAGGAGTGCAGGTCGAAATGTTTAAGAAGTTAAGGTCTCTGATGAATGTAGTTAGCTTAGACACAATGAATTAGGTGGTGTATTGAGTTGTAATTTCTTGTGTCGAAGTAGTATAGCTCGACAGAAACAAGGTCTAGTCGAATTAGCTTAATGTGTGCGTCAAGTTGTATTAATGTGTCGAAGTGTCAAAGTAGGTTATTTCATACAGGAGGAAAACGCCATATCTAAAACACTCACATCGTCTAATTATAGACGGGAGGAAAACGCCATATCCAAAACACTCACATCGTCCGATGATGGACGGAGAGAAACATCATATCCAAATTACGCATCGTCTAAAGATAGACGGAGAGAAAACCATATCCAAATTCACTCACATCGTCTAATGATAGACAAAGAGAATCATCATATCCAAAACACTCACATCGTCTAATGATAGACAGAGAGAAAACCATATCCCAAACACTCACATCATCCAATGATAGACGGAGAGAAAAGTATCTGAAGTCACATCGTCTAATGATAGACAGAAAGAAATATCGTCTTCAAAACTCACACCGTCTAATGATAGACAGAAAGAAAACCATATTCAAAACTTGCATCGTCTAATGATAGACAGAGAGAAACACCATATCCAAAACACTCACATCGTCTAATGATAGACATAGAGAAACATATCTAAAGTCACATCGTCTAATGATAGACAGAAAGAAATATCGTCTTCAAAACTCACATCGTCTAATGATAGACAAAAAGAAAACCATATTCAAAACTCGCATCGTCTAATGATAGACGGAGAGAAACATATCTGAAGTCACATCGTCTAATGATAGACAGAAAGAAAACCTGTTGGGGATGTCATCATCAGAGGGTTGATGGACAAAGCATAACCGACGTATGATCTGGAACCCGAAAGAAAGCAAGCTGATGAGTTAACTGAACTAGGCCATCGGAGTTATGCCACTGTCTTGATTG